GTCCTACATCAGAGGCGGATTGCCAAGATCAGGTTGTTCTGAAAAACTGGCTATAAGTCAAAGGTTCCACGACCCGTCCTCAGGTTTGGTGATTTGCTAGAGTGGCTCACAGAGCTCAAGAAAACACTTTGCTGGGGCGCCTGGGTGGCTCAGTCTTTAAGTGTCTGCCTTCAGCTCAGGTCATGATCTCAGGGTCCTGGGATCGAGCTCCCTGCTCAGCAGGGAGCCTGCTTCTCCCTCTCCCACTCCCCCTGCTTGTGTTTCCTCTCTCGCTGTGTCTCTCTCTGTCAAAGAAATAAATAAATTCTTTTAAAAAATACTTAAAAAAAAGGAAAACACTTTGCTTACTAGATTACCAGTTTATTCTAAGGAGTATAATCAGGAACAGCTAGATGGAAGAGATGCACAGGACGAGGAATGAGGATGGGGTCCTCTATGCCCTCTGAAGGTGTGATACTCTCCCCACCTCTCCAAGTACTCACCAACCCCAAAGTTCACTGAACCCCATATTTTGGGAATTTTTATGGAGGCTTCATCACATGGGCATGATCAATAATCATCTTATTTTCTAGTTCCTCTCCCCTCTCTGGAGGACAAGGGAGTAGAACTGAACATTCCAAGCTTCTACTCAGACCACTCAAGGACACACTGAGAGTCACCTCATTAGAAAAAAAGACTCCACCAGGAACCTGGTGACTCAGTTAGTTGAACGTCCGACTCCTGGTTTTAGCTCAGGTTATGATCTCGTGGGCCGTGAGATTGAGCCCCAGGTTGGGCTCCACACTCAGCCAGGATTCTGCTTGAGGATTCTCTCCCTCTACACCTCCCCCCACTCATGTGCATGCTCTCTCTCTCTCTCTCAAATAAATAAATTTTTTAAAAAAGACACTCCTATCACCCAGGGAATTCCAAGGATTTTAAGGGTCACTCCTTAAACTCCTATCACTTTGGACACCATCACTCAGACACTCCTATCACTTTGGAAATTACAAGGCATTCAGAAGCTTGGTGTTGAAGTGGGATCAAAGACTAAATATTAGCAGGAACTTGGGACAGACATATATATGTGTTTCTTATTATTTCACATTGGGAAGACTGGATGTCTAAATGCAAAAGAATGAACTTGAACCCTTATCTTACACCATATGCAAAAATCAACTCAAAATGGATTAAATATTTATTTATTTATTTTTAAAGATTTTATTTATTTATTTGACAGAGAGAGAGACAGTGAGAGAGGGAACACAAGCAGGGGGAGTGGGAAAGGGAGAAGCAGGCCCCCTGCCCTGCAGGGAGCCCAATGCGGGGCTCGATCCCAGGACCCTGAGATCATGACCTGAGCTGAAGGCAGTTGTTCAACCAACTGAGCCACCCAGGCGCCCTGGATTAAATATTTAAACATAAGACCCAAAACCATAAAACTCCTAGAAGAAAACATAGGGGAAAACCTCCCTGACATTGATGAATTTTTGTATATGACACCAAAAGCATAAGCAAGGGAAGCAAAAATAAACAAGTGGGACTACATCAAACTAAAAAGCTTCTGCACAGCAAAGGAAACCATCAACAAGTGACAAGGCAACCCGTGGAATGGGGGGGAGGAATATTTGCAAACCACATACCTGATAAGGGGTTCAGATTTAAAATATATGAGGGACTCATACAGCTCAACAGCAAACAAAACAAAAAACAAAACAAAAAAACCCCAAATAACTAGATTAAAAAATGGGCTAAGGTCCTGAAAAGACATTTTTCCAAAGAAGATATATAGATGACCAACAGGTATGTGAAAAGGTGTTCAACATCACTAATCGGGGAAATGCAAATCAGAACCTCAGAGTTGTTAGGGTGGCTATTACTAAACAAACAAACAAAAAACCCCAAAAAAACAGAAGAAAAACGCCCCAAAACCAACCAACCAACCAACAAGCAACCCAGCACACCTGGGTACTTCAGCTGGTTAAGCTTCTGACTCTTGGTTTCGGCTCAGGTCATGATCTTGTTTTGTTTGCTGTTGAGCTCTATGAGATCTCATGATCTCAGGGTCATGAGATTGAGCTCTGTATCAGGGTCTGCACTTGACGCAGAGTGGGCTTGTCTCTGTCCCTCTGCTCCACCCCCCGCACCCCGCTTGTGCTCTCTCTCTCTCAAATAAATAAATAAACAAATAAAATCTTAAAAAAAAAAACAATTGTTGACAAGGGTGTGAAGAAAAGAGAACCCTTGTGCATTGTTGGTGGGAATGTAACTACAGCTGTTATGGAAAACAGTATGAAGATTCCCCCCAAAATTAAAAATCCCACTTTTGGGTATTTATCCAAAGGAATTGAAAGCAAGATCTCCCAGAAATATCGGCACTCCCATGTCCATTGCAGCATTGTTCACAATAGCCAAGATATGAAAGCAAACTGTGTGTCAAGCAAGTGGGTAAAGAAAATGTAACATATATTCACATATATATATATAAACTATACGTGCTATATAGTTGTTTATATATACACATAAACACACAATGGAATTTTATTCAGCTTCAAAAAAGAAGGAAATCTTGCCATTTGTTACAACATGAATGAACCTAGAGGACATTATGCTAAGTGAAATAAACCAGACACAGAAAGACAAATTCTGTATCATCTCCCTTATATGTGGAATCTAAAATAGCTAAACTCAGAAACAGAGATTAGAACTATGGTTGCCAGGAACTGGGGAAGGGAGAAATGGGGACATTATGGTAAAAGGGTACAAAGTTGCAGTTATGCAAGGTAAATAATTTCTAGAGCTCCGCTATACAGTGTAGTGCCTATAGTCAACAATACTGTATTGTATACTTAAAATCTGCTAAGAGAGTAGAGCTTATGTTAAGTGTTCTTGCTGCACATGCACAAAGAGAATAATAAAGGGGGTGGGAGGAAACTTTAGGAGGTTTCATGGGTGAATCCTTATCCCCAAACTCAAGTTGTATACATTAAATATATACATCTTTTTACCTGTCAATCGTACTTCAATAAAATGGTTATAATAATAATAACAATTGCCAATCCACTCAATAAAAAATAGGTAAAATATTTAAACAATACCTTTACAAAGATTCATTAATGTCCGATGAGCACATGAGATAGTGTGTCACTAGCCATTAGGGAAACGAAAATGAAAAGCATCACCATACACCCACCAGAATGGATGTTTAAAAGTCTGACAGGTCCAAATATTGGCAAGGAAATGGAACACCTGGGACTCCTTGAAACTTTTGATGAGAATATGAAATGATACAACCACTCCAAAAAATCAAAATCAAATTCATGCACTTTCTCATAAAATGAAACATATGCCTGTTCTGACTCAGCAATTTCATTCCTAACCCAATAGAAATGAAAATATGTACACAAAAAAACTTGTAACCTGAAAATTCGTAGCAGATCTATTTATGACACGCAGATCCTGGAAAGATCTCTGCTGTCCAGCCATATGACAGCCAAGAAACAAATTGTGGTATATTCAATCTACTGAACTATAAAACGGAACAGAGTCTTGCTAGCAGGTATAGAAAATAAAACTATTCCTGAGTTTACCAGCAAAAATAGGTTTATTTGGGAATAGCAGAGAACCGCAATTCAGGGTAACAAACCTAAAACAAAAACACAGGCAGGTCGGCAGAACAAAGGAGGGGCTGTTGTCAACTGAAAGTCTATTGGACTAAACTGGGAGCTGGAAGTATAGCGGCTTCTCATTGGCTGGGTTGCCGGGGAGGAGGAAATCTTCTTCCGGGGCACTAAAGTACTATGCAAAGGGCCCCGAGGAGCGGTGGGGTGTCAGCGCGCCCCCTGCTGGCCTCTTGGCTCCATACTACATGAGCGTTCCTTTTATGAATTTTCACACCAAACGAACTCATTTTGCCGAAAAATAACTGGCTGTTTTACTTTTAAGGTCGATATGAGTAATAAAAATATTTCTAATTTTTTAAGATAAACGCAAGACTCTCCTCTCCTCTCCATCCCCACCAGCCGTTTAGAAGGGTTTCATTCTGACCATCCTATCCATCGCTGTATTCGGCTTGGTCCGGGCCGCTCTAACGAAGTACCGTAGACTGGTGGCTGATAAACAGAGGTTGATGTCTCACAGCTCTGGAGGAGGGCAGTCTGAGATCAGGTGCCCGCACAGTCGGGTTCGGCTGAAGCCCCCTGCCGGGGTGTAGATCGTACCCTCGCATAGAGGAAGGAGCTAGCTTGCCCTGTGGCCTTTTCCTAAAGGGCACTAATCCTGTTTACGGGGCCCTACCCTCATGACCTAATTCCCTCCCAAAGGCCCCATTTCCAAATACCATCACATTGGGATTAGGGTTTCAGCATATGAATTTGGGGACACAAACGCTCAGCCCTTGCCCTGTCTTTTGCTTATCACCCTTCTAATAGTATGAAAGGGCACCTCCCTGTGGCCTTTCCCTAATGGCCAACAACAGCCAACATTTCTGCCCACGTTCATTAGCCATTTTATATCCTCCTTGGAGAAATATCTATTCAAATCTTCTGCTCATTTTAATTGGGTTGTTTACCTCCCTTTCACCGACTTTTAAAAATAACAGCTTTATTGAGGTATAATTCACATACCATACAGTTCACCCATTTAAATGTACAATCGAGAGGTTAAGCACATTCACACTGTTGTGCAGCCGTTGTCACCCACAGCCACGCAGGGGGATGCAGGCTGGACTTCCCTCGGGGGTGCTGCTCAGGACCCTGGGGTCTGTGCCACCGGCCTTCTTCCTGGGCCCTCCCGGTCCGGCCTGGTGGATGAGGGTCCCTCCCCAGACACCAGCGGAGACCGGGGCCCGCCCGTCCGTGAAGGGCCTTTGAAATCCTCGCAGAACGATGGCTGCAGGTGCATCCCGCAGACTATGACCCCCTTCAGCCCCTTCAGAACAAACGCCTTACTCTGATGTCCGGATCACAGAGGGCCGGGTCCTCCCGGCGTCCTAGAGCTGCCCGGAAGTGGCTCTGGGTCGCTTCCGGGGAGCTGGCCCCGCTTCCGTTGTGGCAGCGCCGCTGAGCTTCGCCTGGCCGCTGAGCACCAGACTATACGCTCTGCAGGTGCGGGTGCATCTCGGGCTTTGGGGTACGGGGGATGGGGTCGCTCTTTCCGGGCGGAGGCAGCGGACCGCGATATGGCTCCTTGGCCGCTCCTTTCGAGAAGCTCTGGAGGCCGATCCGGGGCTGCGTGGGGCGGGGCCTGGCGGCGGGGACCGCGGCTCGTGGGCGGCCGCTCGGCGGTGCGGCAGGTGACCAGGGCCTCCCCGGCGAGCACGGGGCACGACTCCAACCGGGCCGGTCTCTGTCAGCTGCTTCCTCGGGGCGGGTGGCCAGGAGAGCGTCAGCGGGGGGCAGCACGCTAGCCTCCCGGGAGCAGGGTCTGAGCAGCGGGGCGGCGGGGCAGTGGAAGGCAGTTCCTGATATAGGGGCCAGGCGCCAGGCAGTTGGGGAAGACCCGCGTTTGGGCAGTGGGTGGTCGTTGACGGGCAGGGCGAGGGGGGCCCTGCCTTCCCGGGAGAACGCGATACGATGAAGCCAGTAGAGGACCCCCTGTGCCCCCGGGCTCCCCCGCGCTTCGCCGCGCCCCATTTCGCTGTATGGTGAGGACCCTTCCGTGCTCCGCCGAGCTCTGTCCTCTGCGTGTGGCTTGGTCACCTGAGATGTGCCATGACAGTATACTGTCAGGTACTGACAGAGCTTTTCTCCAGGTACCACGGTACGTCTTGTCACGTGCCCCTCCTGCCTGCCTGTGTCTGGTTTCTCCTGTGCTGTGGAAACAGTGGGGACTTTTGATAGACAGGCCTGGGTTCTAGTCCTTGGGCAGTTGTGTTGGAGCCTCGGTTTCCTTATTGGCTCCTGCAGAGCCGTTGTGCCGATTCAGAGCTGACTGAGCTTAGTGTGGTTGGTGGCAGCAGCAGTGGCTGTTACATCCCTGTGTTCTCCGGACTTTTCTTCTTCATTCTTTTGTCCATTATGTCTTTGGAGAACTTATGTGCCCTCTCCTGTTTTCTGGTTCTCTCCTCCTCCCCACCCTGTCTCCCTTCCCTGCCAACTCCTGGCTGGTCTCTTGCCGGGATTAAAGTGGGCCCATCTGCCACCTGCTCTCGGGGCACCTCCCATTACTGTCGTAGGTGGTTCATGCTGTCAGCATCTTGAAGGCAGAGGCCATGTTAGTCCTCATTTTCTGGCCCAGAGCACATGGGAGTTACTGGACTTCTCTTCTCCCTGCCCCTGGCAGTTGCAGCTGAGACCTTTCCTCTGGGCTGCTTGATCAAAAAGGAGGAAGCAGCAATGTCTGCCATGGGGACTGCAGCTCCATACCTGCATTACCCTGGTGATAGCCACAGTGGCCGGGTGAGTTTCCTGGGGGCCCAACTCCCCCCAGAAGTGGCAGCAATGCCCCGGCTCCTGGGAGACCTGGACAGGGGCACATTCAGAAAGTTGCTGAAGCTGGTGGTCAGCAGTCTACAGGGAGAGGACTGCCGGGAGGCTGTGCAGCGCCTCAGGGCTGGAGCAGACCTGTCGGAGGAACGGCTGGGTGTCCTCCTCGCCGGCACAAACACACTGCTCCAGCAGGCCATCCGGCTGCCCCCAGCCAGCCTGAAGCCTGATGCCTTCAAGGACCAGCTCCAGGAGCTCTGCATCCCGCAAGACCTGGTCACAGACTTGGCCAGTGTGGTGTTTGGGAGCCAGCGGCTTCTCCTCAACTCTGTGGCCGGGCAGCAGGGGGCCTGGCTGCCCCATGTTGCCGGCTTGTGGTGGAGGGTGGACGTGGCAATCTCCACCAGTGCCCTGGCCCGCTCCCTGCAGCCAAGTGTCCTGATGCAGCTGAAGCTTTCAGATGGGTCGGCATTCCGCTTTGAGATCCCAACAGCCAAGTTCCAGGAGCTGCGGTACAGCGTGGCCCTGGTCCTCAAAGAGATGGCCGACCTGGAGAAGAGGTGTGAGCTCAAACTGCAGGACTGACCGTGCTTGCAACCCCATTGCAGTCATCTGGGGAGAGTTGGCTCCAACAGGTGTCCGCAAATAAAGCCTGCCCTTCCAGGAGGCATTCCTGAGATGTTTGAATGTAATCATGTCATTGGTCTGTTTAGTTGAGAAAGCTGGATCTTCCCTTTTTATTGGAAATAAAGCAACTATAACAAAGTGTCCTCCTGGGTGGGCATCAGACTGCACACCCTGCCTTGGCTATTGGTTTTATTACTGGGTGAGGGCATCTGCTGCTGTGGGGGGGGCAATGTGTGGTTCTGGTTTGGTTGCCATCGGGTGTCCAGGTCAAGGCCTTTTTGTGGACACTGTGGTCGCTCAGCCTGGCCTCATGTAGCATCTGCTCATTTGCTTTTGTGAACCCTGTGTTTTAGTGTGGACATCTCATTTTCCTGTCTTATATCCTTGACCTCATGGAGCCAACATTCTAGTGGTGAGGGGGAGACATTACAAAATGCATAACAAAATGACTGGCAAAGCTTGTCAGAGGAGGGTAAGTGGTGCAGAAACAGAGCAGGGGGGTGGCCCCTGGGTGGCTTGGTCTCTTAAGCATCTGACTCTTGATTTTGGCTCATGTCATGATCTCAGGGTCCTGGGATCAAGACTCTGTGCCCAGCAAGGAATCTGCTTGAGATTCTGTCCCTATGCCCCTCCTCCCACTCACACTCTCTTTCTCTCTAAAATATTTACAAAAGGAAGAAGAAAGAGGGGCACCTGGGTGGCTCAGTCGGTTAAATGTCTACATTGGGCTTAGGTTATGATCTCCAGGTCCTGGGATGGAGCCCTGTGTCCCGCTCCCTGCTCAGCGCCCCTAGCCCCCACTCCTGTTTCTCGTTATCTCAAATAAATAAATAAAATCTTAAAGTAAAAAAAGAAAGAAAGAAAAGAAATAGAGCAGGGTCCCAGGACGGGAGGCGGGATTATGGAAGAGCTGGGCTGTCATCCTAAATTGGGTCATGGGGTGGGGACACGGTATATGAGCAAAGACTTGAAGGAGGTAAGGGAGCAGAGCAGTGTGAGGGCTGGGGGCAGCAGCTCGTAGTGCACAGCCCGAGCAGCTGTGGCTGGGTGAGGGGTGAGTAGAGGGTGTGGAGGGCACGCCCCCCGGGGCCTCTGTAAGAACTTCGGCTCTACTCTGAGCAGAGTGGGTGTGATCTGACAGTTGCTCCAAAAGGATCTCCCTGGATGCTGTGTTGCAAGCATAGTAGAGCACAAGGGCAGGGGTTGGGAGCCTGGTGGAGAGGCTGTTGCCAGGGTTGAGGTAGAGTCGGGGAGAGGGGGACAGGGGCCTCTCCTGGGATCCTCTGAGTGGGTGTCTTAGGCAGCTCAGGCTGCCATAACAAAATACCCTAGATTGAGTGGCTTTAGCAACAGAATTCTATTTCCTCACAGTTCTGGAGGCTGGCAGTGCGAGATCAGAGTCCCGGCAGAGTCGGGTCCTGGTCAGAGGCCTGCAGACAGCCTTTCCTCAGGCCACGTGCATGTGTGAGAGAAGAGAGCTCTCTCTTCATCTCATTAAGGACACCAGTCCTGTTGTTGGGTCGGAGCCCCACTCTATTTAACCTTAATCACCTCCCTGAAGGCCCCATCTCCATGGGGTTAGGGCTTTAACATGAACTTGGCGGGGAACACAATTCAGTACTTCGCAGTGAGAATGTGCAGGGTGGAGGGGAGCGGGATCTCTGCTGGGTACCTCCAGGGTGGGAGTGTTCAGGCCCGTGGCCAGTGTTGCACTTTCCAGCATAACTGGCCCCCAGGTAGGGGACGTGGGTCCTGCTTTTTGCAGAGATGTTTGCTGTCAGTCTGTGTTCCCCTGGCGGTGTCCCCACCTCCATTGTCTCTCCGCTAAGCAACCAGCTCACAAGTCTTGTAGGATAAATGGGCCTGAGCAGCTTGCAGGAACTTCCCCTGAAAAACAGCTCATGAGCCCTGCCCTTTCCCAGAACCCCCTTCCTGCCCCCCCGCTCTGTGCCGGGGCCCCATCGAGGGCAGAGCACTCCCACCCTCTCAGTTGATCCTTCTCCCTCAGAGTCAGGGTCATGGCAATGTGGGTGTGGGAGACTGAGGACAAGGTGGGGTGGTGCTGCACATGCAGGGGTAGGGTTTCAGAGGCTGAGCTCCCAGGTAGAGCCCCCAGGTGGGGCCCAGGCCTGGCTCAACTGAGGGGCGCAGATTCTTGTCTCCTGCAGCATCAGTGGTCATCCGGGGTCCTGCTGCTCCGAGGATGGGAGCTGGACACTGGGCCATCCAAGCTGCCGTTTGGCCCATATACTTGCTGAGCCCCACGTCCGCCCACCCAGTGATGGAGGCCTTCTTTGCCAAGTATGTCTTTCATGACCATTAGACATGTTCAGGGAATACAAACTCAGGATACATTTGGGGGGGAAAAAAAAGTAAAAGCAAACAAGAAAAAAGAATTTCAAAGTCCTTTTGTCCATAGACAGCCTCGGAAATGGACTCATACTGTGTCTGCATCTGTGTGTGTGGTAGCTCTGTTCACTTCCTGAGTGTGACCGCTGTGGCTGGTGGCTGTAGGATGTACCCTTCCCCTTGGCAGGTGTGCTGTGTTCCTTTAGACAAAACAAACAAAACACCACAGGCTGGGCAGCTTCAACATCATTCATTTCTCACAGCTCTGGAGGCTGATGGTCTGGAATCAGGGTGCTGGCATGGCTGGGTTGCAGGCTTCTCCCCGTGTCCTCACAAGGTTCCAGAGGTGAGGGAACTCTCGGGGGGCTCTGAACTCATGACCTAATCACATCCGCAAGGCCCCAACTCCTCATACCATTACATTGGGCATTAGGGTTTCAACATACAGATTTTGGAGGTGAAGGGGGTGACACAGACCATAATGGCTGTTTTTTTTTCCCCCTGTTAAAAATCACAGTGATGGTTAGTGGTAAAACCATTTTATGTAACTGAAACCGTTTAGAAATGGGGACAAAGGAGGCAGAATGTGAACATTTTAAAGCCCTTGATATCACTGTCCAGCTGTGACCCAAAGTACATTTCTCAGTACAGGTTTCTCAATCACCCCTTACAGGCCAGTCCCTGGGCAGTGCAGCCGCGAGCAGAGTTGTTACAGGTGTAACAGCAAATGCTGAGCACCGGTCTACGTACCGCACGCGTGTCCACCCACTAACTCACAGGTTGAAGTTTCCCCACTTCACGGAGGTCAGAGGCTTGCCCCAAGTCAAACAGCTGATGGGTGAGCTGGTGTGGTCAGCCTTCCCTCCTGACCCGGACGGGGCTGCCCTGTTGGCAGTGTCCTCCATCTATTGACTGCGAGAGTGACCGTGGAGGCTGGCTGGAGGGGCAGTATCACCTGGGGGGCTTCAAGAGGCTCTCCCTGCTGGCTCATGTGGACACACCTTTAGGGTTGTGAGCTGTTGAGATTTAGGGGCTTCTGCTATGCAAGATTACTGGAATTTGGCCGGTGCAACCAGGAATAGAGACCTAGGGTCTGAGCCAGGCTTACATGTCCTGGCGAGTGCTCCGAGCTCTGTTGCCACCACAGGGCCACGTGGCTGGGCCTCCATGGTTCTGAATTATATGCTGAGCAGAGAGGAGAGGCGCTTCCCAGGCCACGCCATTGTTGGCATCTTTGAGAACATGCACAGCTCCTTCCCGAGAGGCCCTTGGAGCACACTTGGAGCCCCTCAGCACTTGCAGGGAGAAGGCACTTTTCCACTCCCACATGGGCCGACGGAGGCGCAGAGTTCCAGGAGTCGCCCCGTGGGCAAGCACCCGGACTAGCACTTCCTTTCTCTGCCCAAGGGGCACAGAGGCCTACTCCCCCTCATCCTTGTGCCCCTGGCTGGGGCGGTCTGGCAGTTTGTCTCCACAGCTGTGTTGGTGCGTCCACTCTGCAGTCCCCTGGGATGGCCCTGGGCCCCTCGAAGGTACAGCATCTGGTCACACACCCTCTGCTCCTGGCGGGTTCTGAACACTGCGCACTCGCCAGTCGTCTCCTAGAAGGCGCGGTCTGTGCTGCTGCTTCCAGTCAGTAACAGTAGGGGCGGGGCACTGTCCTCCATCCTTGGCAGATACGGTGGCGCTGACCACACTGTCCCTCCCACGGCAGCTGCAGGGAGGCCCCTCCCTCCACTCCCCTGCTGCTCCACAGAGCCACTATGGCAGGTGCCAGCCGGGAGTGACCATGCCAGCTTTGCAGGTCACAAGGATGCCGTCGGCTCTGTCACTGTTGCTTGAGAGCAGCCAGGCGCTACGTGAATCAACAGGCACAATCACGTTCCAATAAAAATTTCTTACTGGTGTTGAAATTTTAATTTCATGTGTCACAAAATCACTTTAAGCCATTTAAAGGCCACTGTTACCTCATATGAAACCAGGTGGCAGATGGATGGTGGCTCTGTTCTGCTTCCCTCAGGCCAGCTCTTGGCAGGCTCGAGTGTGTGGACTCTGTGTGCCCAGAGCAGCTGTCCACTACCACTGACCGGGCTCCAGGCTCACCTTTGTCCCCGGGCCCACACAAGGCCTTGTACAGAATGGACATTCTGGAATGGACATTCACACCTGCAAGAGTACCATTTTCTGGATCTTTTTCAGATCTCTGGAAACCTTTTAAAAAAAATAATCCCCACTTGTGAGGCTTGAACTCACAACCCCAAGATCAAGTCTCACACTCCACCACCGGGCGCCCTCCAGACACCCGTCTGTGGAAACTCGATGCCAGTGGGTTTCCTCTCTTCCCTGAGTGTTGACAAGTGAATCCTGCACTGGGGGAGCATCCAGGCTTTGAGGTCGGGACGTTAGACAAACATTCCCTAGGCTCTGAGTGCAAGCCACACACACTGTGTGAACTCACCTGGGCTCTGCACCCCCCACCCCTTCGTGAAGCTTCCAGGATGCTCGGTGGTTCCAATCCAATGTCATACATCAAAACTTAATCTGGTAATTGAGTAAAAAGCAGTTTCGGGTCAAAATTATGGGTTTATTGCCTCCAACAGAGAAATCCAAGGTAATATCTACTCTGAAACAGAGTCCTGGATAGTCTTAAAAATGCTTGTTATAGTCACTGAAGCCCAAATTGGGAGATACAGCTTGAGAACAGAATGCAATATCCCAAAGCTTGCACTACCCTAACAGGTGGCCTTCCTCCACTCCCTCTCTGCAGAGAGCCACCAGAACGCGTGATGTGTGCAGACACTCTTCCCGGGATCTCACGCCCCTGCATCTCAAGTGCTGAGGCAGTTTGATTTCAGAGTCTTGCTGAGCAGGCCAGTAGGCCACTTCTCTTCCATGCAGCTGCAGCTAAGAAAGGACCCCTCACCCTGTACTTCTGCAGTTGAGACTCTGGACTGGAATGTAAGACTTTAGGTTTATCTCTATTGAATTTTTGGTTGTATTGGGACATTTAAGTGAACAAACCACACTAAGAATTGAGGGCATGGAGTTTCTACCCAAGTTAACAAGGCCAGCAAGTGTGAACTTGGCTTGCGTCGTACGAGTGGCCAGCTGTGTTCCAAAAAACTTTATATTCATTCACACTGAAATGATTTCAATATAATTTTCACATGTCACAAGTCTTTTTTTCCCTTAGCTTTTAAGCCTTTTAAGAGGTAAACTGAGGTACATCAGTTTTAAAGAGTTTGAGCAAACATGGACTGGAACTGGGCTGTGCCCACCTGAAAAATCAGAGTTCTGTGCTGGGAAGAGACAGGGGAGAGGTTTTCCCAGAGAAGACTGCTTATGGCTGTTTGTGATTGGTTGTTCTTAAATTTCATTTTCTCAGATGAGTGCACTTAGAGGAATTGACTCCAGCCTACATTATGGTCAGCTTATGTAGCTACCAAGGCATGAGAGCCACCCCGTCTAATGGCCTCCGTGTTCCAGCCCCTGATCTAGGACCATGTCAATCCAAAGAGAGAATCCAGAGGCTGGAGAATGATTTCGGTGGAATCCTCTGGCCCGCTCTGGCTGGCCTGGAGTTGCTGTTAGAGGACAGTATCATGCCCAGGTTGGAATCTGGAAGACTTCATGTAACTTCCCAGGAAGTGGCCGAGAGAGGGTTCCCTTCTGGGGATGGCACAGTCAGTGACCAAACTGCAGTCCCTGGTCCTCTTGCACTGACCCTTTTGGACCTAAGTTCTGGGTGGGGTAGGGACAGCTGGAGGGGCAGTTACAACTACTGAAATGGGCACAATGATTTCATAGTGTCCTGGCACCTGGAGAAGGGACACCTCCAAAGGGGCAGGTACAGGCCACGGGCACAATCTTCAACCCAAGAACTAGCACTGCAGCCTGAGAACACACTGAACTTTGTGCCTGGCTAAGGCACCAGCCGTGGCTGGTGATTGGGCTGAGATACTGGTCCATGTGCTAGAAACACAGAAACCCACACAGACCTGACCATCCCGAACTCTGCTGTTCCCAATTCCAGAAAGTTCTGGAACCTCCCACTGCAAACACAGGGACCAGTCAGCCCTTTCTTCACCTGATACAAATCCATAACCTATTGGTTATCAGCCATCAAGGCTGTGTCTCAGGGACCTACCTACAGGCTTAGCCAGACCAGTGTGACGGTGACCCAAATCAAGTGTTGCCATAAATCCTGAAGTGACTGACCTCTGGGTTACCTTTCTGTATGTGGGATGGGGAGGAGGGTTCACTGACCCCAATTTTGCTCATGGTAACTGGCAAGGACACCAAAGATCGACAGGTCTAGAGTGAGTGGTAGTGGGCAGTAGCCAGTCTGAGTAAGACTTCTGGTCCCCTCCAACTTTTGATGAGTCCAGGACCCTAGGGCAGGGCCACTATCCACACTGTGGTTAGCCTCACACTGCTGGTGAGCGGTCTGTCTCCATCTCCACCAGCCTCTGGGAAAAGGCAACAGGCTCATCTGTCAGCTTCCAGACCCTCCCAGTTCTGGCAGTTTATGGCAGGGCAAATTCAGTAAGTATGGTAAGCAGCAGGAACAGTACACACCCTGGCCTCTGGGTGGCATCTGCTGGGCTCCCGTGAGCTCTTCCTGCTGAGGCCAGGTCTGTACTGGGTGGCTGGAGATGCCGCCTGGGGTCTCAGTGTGGGAGGGGGAAGGGTCTCTTACACAGTTCAGTTCTTATGATCACCCTGTAACAATGCTGGTTAAGTAGAGAGACTCTGGATTTCAAGGACAGTGACATCCCAGAGTCACAGAGCAGGTCCCTGGGCCCGGGTGCAATTCCTGGAGTCCTGCGCTGATCCGAGCTCCTCTCTGAACAGGCCGACACTGGGCCCTCCGGCTGTAACCCCGGGTTGCTCTGGTGGGGCGGGAGAAAGGGGTTCTAGGCACCTTCCTCTGGGCTTCCACTAGCACGAGCTAACACATCCTGACTGCTGAAGCCAACCTGAGGGACCAGTGCACAGGGAAGACTTTGGGTAACTTCTAAGCTACCTGTCTGGCAAAGCTCACAGGCCTTTTCCCATGATCTTCCTCATCCATAGGACCGAGGGTCTTCCCTCTGTGAACTCGAAACTCTACACATGTGCACCCTGACTCGAGGGACACAGGCTTTGCTGAGTGGGCTAAGGTCACACGTTCTAGCAAAGGAACATCCACTTTATATGAATTTAGACATTTTCTTTAAGAGGGTAATTTGGAATCTATCCCCATGTTCTAAATTCTTGTTAGTATAAATGATCCCATATAAAATACGTAAAGTTAAGGCTGTAGGTTTATTCACATTTATGCACATTTATAAAGGTAAGTGGTCTATCCCATGTGAATTTTCTGATGCTGAGTAAGCCTTGAGCTCCGATTAAAAGCTTTGCCGCATTCGTTACATTTGTAAGGTTTTTCTCCGGTGTGAATTCTCTGATGTATAATGAGATGTGAGCGCCACCTGAATATTTTCTCACATTCATTACATTTATGCAGTTTCTTGACAGTATTGACTTTTTTACGGCTCACGTGGGTAGAAGCTTCCAAGGTATTCCCGTACTCATGATACCACTGGGCCCGGGTGTGGATCCTCTGATGCTCGATAAGATAGGAGCTCCGACTGAAGGCTTTCCCACACTCGCTACATCCGTAGGGCTTCACTCCTGCATGGATTATCTGGTGCTGGAAAAGGGTTGAGTTTTGACTGAAGGCTTTCCCGCACTCAGTACACTTGTAGGGTCTCTCCCCAGTGTGGACCCTTTGATGTATCGTGAGCTGTGTGCTCATACTGAAAGCTTTTCCACATTCGAGGCACTCGTAGGGCTTCTCTCCCTTATGGATTCTCTGATGGTAAATGAGGCTTGAGCTCTGGCTGAAGGCTTTTCCACAGTCACTACACTCGTAGGGCTTCTCTCCAGTGTGAATTCTCTGGTGCTGAATTAGGTGTGAGCCCTGGACAAAGCCTTTCCCACATTCCTCACACTTAAATGGTTTTTCTCCAGTGTGAGTTCTCTGGTGGCGAATAAGCCGTGAGCTACAACCAAAGGCTTTTGCACACTTGTTGCATTTATAAGGTTTCTCTCCAGTGTGGGTCAGCTGGTGCTGACTAAGGCGAGACACCCACCTGAAGGCCTTTCCACACTCGTCACACTTAAATGGTTTCTCTGTAGGGTGGATTCTCTGATGTGCAACAAGGCCGGGGCCATCTGGGTTCCTTGGAAGTTGAGGTTTGTCCCCAGCGTGCATCCGCTGGTGCTGAGCCAGGGTTGAGCTCTGGCTGAAGGCCTTCCCACACTCCTGGCACTGGTAGGGCCTCTCTCCGGTGTGGGTCCTCTGGTGTCTGACCAGCTGGGACTGCTGGCTGAAGGCCTTCCCACACTCTCGACAGCCATAGGGTCTCTCCCCCGTGTGGACCCTCTGGTGGTGGATTAGGCTGGAGCTCTGACCAAAGGCCTTTCCGCACTCCTCACACCTGTAGGGCTTCTCTCCAGTATGAATTCTTTGATGCTGAATAAGTTTTGAGCTCAGACGAAAGGCTTTTCCACACTCGATGCATTTGAATGGCTTTTCTCCAGTGTGGATTCTCTGATGCTGATTAAGCTGTGAGCACAACCTGAAGACTTTCCCACACTCCTCACATTCATACGGCTTCTCTCCATGGCAGTTACTTCCATGTTTCCCCTGTAAACAATCAGGTAATTTTTTTTTGCACTCTGGACATCTGTTAGGTTTCTTCTGTGTATTAATTTCTTGATGCAGAGCAATGTCTGAAGTAGATCTGAAACTTGTGCCACACATGTCACATCTTCGGACTGTCCCTTCGGCGGCACCTCCCTGACTTTTGCCAGGCTGACAACCCAGGTCGCCACTGCTCTCCAGCTTGCCACATCCCTGGGCACCCTCCTTGGCAAAGGTCTTCCTGGGAGCCACAGTCCCTGTGTTCCAGCGGTTTTTCTGGAGGAGGGAGCTTGGCTTACTCTCTGACCAGACCTCAGAATCAGAGGTGTTTCTAAAGCTAGAACTCTGAGGAAAACCCTGTGGGGGGCTTCTGACCATCGCCACACAGGGTTCTGATTTTAGAACATCCATGTCCTCACAGGCCTGCTCACCTGCAATCCCAACTGCAGAATCTGAAAGAAACAGGATAAAATGCCCTTATCCCCTGTGCTTAGAGGGACAAAGACCTCTCTAAGGGGATGGGGGCTGCACATCATCCCTGGGAACTAAGCTCCCTGCCAGGACGGGCTGCATCAAGCAAGGATACACCCACATGGAAAAACACTACCAGGGGTGCCTGGGGGGCTCAGTCGGTTAAGCGACTGCCTTCGGCTCGGGTCATGATCCCAGGGTCCTGGGATTGAGCCCCTCAGCGGGGAGCCTGCTTCTCCCTCTCCCGCTCCCCCTGCTTGTGTTCCCTCTCTCACTGTGTCTCTGTCAAGTAAATGAATAAAATCTTCAAAAAAAAGAGAAAAAAAAAATACTACCAGAAGTCATGCCTCTGACAGTTTTCAAAATTTGGTTTCATTAATACTTTTTACTTTATGCATACATTCAACGACTGTGTACTCCTGTGTGCTCCTGTGTGTGGGTATGTGAGGAGAGGTCCATCCTGTGGGGAACTGGGATGAGTGAAAATCCATAAAGCAGCAGCGAGCCTGAGAGCCTGGCAAGTGTGGCCAGCAGCTCCTGGGTCCAGAGGAGGTGGAGCGAGGGTTAGATGGACTGAAAACTAGGAGTGGGGGACAGGCAGGCTCGAAGGAAGAGAAGGCTGGACAGCTGCCGAGGGGCACACACCAAGGGTGAGCCTGAGGGGGCAGGGCTCTGAGCAGGACCCCAGGCCTTGACTCTGCTTCCTCCAGCTGCTGCCCAGCCACCTCTGATGCACACCTGACCGTGCACATCCATTGCTCGTGGGCCCCTCAGCTCCCAGGAGGCCACACCATACGGCCTTCTTGCTCCCTTGGGGTTCTGGAGGCTCCGTCTGCCCCTGCCTGCCCCCCATGAGGCCTTCCTGACGTCCGCCTTCCTTTTGGACTCTCCATATAAATGTCAGTGTCTCTCCTACTCTAGGGTTTCAGAGAGTACCTTTGCTAAAGTCAGACACCTCCTTGGTGTCCGTGATCACGCCCAGGGTCATAACTAGCATCACAACCAACTTCACAACCAGGCCGTTACTACCCCACAGCGAAATCCTCCAGGGCTCCAGTTACAGGGTTCCTGGTGGTTCCTAACATCAGTGCCCTCTCCAGCTCCAGGGATCTGCAGCTCTCGGTGGGTCCTGGGTGCGGCAAAGGCCATCACACACTGAGCATTTTCTGTGGGTAAGGAACGCTTAGTTCCCAGCCATTCCTCAATGAGTCTGCATGACAATCCAGAGAGGCCAACAGTGGAATCACCACCCCACAGATAAGCAATCTGTGGCTCCCCAGTCACATAGCTAATGAGAGAATCAGGAATGGACCCAGCTCTGTCCCCCAACACTTGCCCTTTCGACCTCTCCGTGCCCTTATGACGTGGGCTATCTCCTGCCTGGTCCTCGATGTACAATCATACACCCCTCCACAGGGCAGGACTGGCCATGTGGGGCTGGCTCAGTCAGCCCTCTGCCCAGGCCTCCCTCTGCTCTGGAGATGAGCAAATAGAAAGTACTGCTCTCCACCGCCTCCTGCTGAAAAGCAGAGGCCTCTACGGACACCAGGGAAGAACATGGTGATGTCTGTAGCCGTGGGGTGGGGACCTCCTGCTCGCAAGAGGAAAAAGACAACCCCACGTGGCTAAGCAGCCACAAACCCACCCAACCCCGCTGGAGTCGGCCTCCATCTGGTTCCCACAACCAAGTCTAAGAACCCTCCCTACAAACCAGGCCCCAGTGCCAGCCTCAGGGGCTTCCCCTCAGACTCAGCTTGTACACGCTCCCTCTCTGGGGGTCCACATCACATCCTTGGGGACCCCTAACTGCAGCCCGGAGTTCTCACCCTCCCCCAGAACTTGAGAGCTCTTCTCCACAGCTCTAGATAACCTCTGAAGAGATACAAGCACATGTTAAAAAAGAGCCTCATTCTGGAAGTGGTTTTCCCTCAGAGAACAGATGTGTGTCCCTGCAGGCTCTGCACCCTCGTCACTCTGGGCCACTCCTCAATTATCTGCTGCACAAGTCTGACACAAGTAACACCTCTGGGCACATGCATTTTTCTAACATGCTCCACACGTTTTCATCTGCCAGGCCGTGCTCCTGCCCCGGGCTGTCAGGCTCAAGAGCAGGTCCCCATCTCACCGTGGGGATGTTTTCTTTGCTGCTGCCTCATCACCATAAAGACCATTTGCTGCATATATACCCCCTGAACTACCCAATTCTGCTAACTCCAGCTAGCTTTTCTGCCATGGTACCCTCTTTGAAATCTCCCCTCCACCTTGGAAATATTTAATATTGGCTGGGTTTTAACTGGGCTAGCCTACAGCTTTACCCCTTTCCCAGGAAGGATCAGGAAGGGGCCTCAACAGGAAGGCAGGGCTTTCAATTACAGAGCCAAGGATGCTGGGGGCTGGGGTCAGGGCTCCCAACACTCCTGCCCATACCTTTGCTGCCTTCCACACAACGATGCGCGTGACGATGCTTTACAGAGACTTCACAACTCCAGGCCCTTCCGGGCAGGAAGAGCACAACCCTTAACTGTAACAGTGTGGGGGCACCTGGGTGGCTCAGTCATTAGGCGTCTGCCTTCGGCCCAGGTCATGATCCCAGGGTCCTGGGATCGAGCCCTACATCGGGCTCCCTGCTCCGCGGGGAGCCTGCTTCTCCCTCTCCCACTCCCCCTGCTTGTGTTCCCTCTCTCATAGTCTCTGTCAAATAAATAAATAAATAAGATCTTAAAAACAAAAACAGTAACTGTCACAATCTGATTCTCCAACTTGCTTCCAGCCAGCCAGGGACCACAGCATGGGCGCCAGGCCCTGCTCTGCTGCAGCAGTGACCGCAGGACATGGCAGTTAGCAAGGAGGATTCCTTTCTGTGGTCAGGATGCATGCAATCCCACTTCCCTGACCAAACTGGGCAACATGTCTGCCAGGGAGGCTCAGACAAGGCTGGAGGCAATGGCATCTCTTCAACAAAGCCCAGTGGGAGTCAACGCTGTGAGGTGGCAGGTGCCCCTGTTATGGGCTGACTGTGCCCCCCAAAAAGATGTGCTGCAACTCCAACCCCAGGACCTCAGAATATGACCTTATTTTGTAAACAGGATTGTTGAGACTATGTTAAGATGAGGTTGCAATGAAGTAAGGAGAGGCCTTACTCTATAACCCTTTATGACTGATACCCTTTCAAGAAGACATGGGGAAGCCAGGTGATGATGGAGTCAGATACTGGAGTGACACAGACACAAGCCAAAGAACACCTGGGGCCACCAGAAGCTGGAGGAGGTAGGAAGGGTCATCCCCTATAGGTTTCACAGGGGACAGGAACCTCCTGATGCCTTGATTTTGGACGTCTGGCTTCCAGAATTGTGAGATGATTAATCTCTGTGGTTTCAAGCCTCAAGTTTGTGGTGCTTTGTTACAGCAGCCCCAGGATACTAACACAGCCCTGCAGCCTGATCTGAGAGGACCCCAAGAAGTTCCGGAGGGAGCTGTTGGTGGGAGGGAGGGAAGTGATATTTGCCTGAGAAGCTGCTAAGAGCCAAACTTGGTGCTTCCCCTTGGATCCATACCTTTGCACCATTGCTTAATAATAACATTAGTAAAATTAGAAATTGAACAACACGTGACTTAAAAACAAACCGTTTTTGCTGTAACATGCCAAAACGTCCCTGCCATTCTGTAATCCAGTCTCTCCCGATGCGACCCCACGACTGGGCTATGCTCTGTCAGCGGGCCCACTTGTGGCCCCACGGTGTTCACAGGCATCCCAGCAAGCCTGCTTGGTCGGTCCCCGGGATCCATCTCCAGCTGCCCACCCTCTCAGCCCTTGCTGGGCACGGGTTCTCTGAACACCTCCTCACCCGTCCCCAGAAGCTTCTCAGGCCTGAGCCTCACCTGTAAGGAAGGTTCTTGCCCCCTCTCTCCCCTCGACTCCCTTCAGGTCAAGGACCCATGGCTCCTGCCCTTGTTCCAGCCGGGAGATCAGCTCAGGCTTGAAGACCAGGAACCCTGCTGTGGGGATGGCAGAGAAGGGGACTGTGTCAGTATGGCTGAGGGTACAGCACAGAGCCCAGCACCCTTGGTTTCCAGGAGGAAAGAGGCAGGGGGCTACTGCAGCACAGGCAGAGCCTCCGAAGGGAGCATCAGGGGGTGAGGGTCTGGACACAGTGGCCCTCTCTGGCCAAATCGGTCCAGCTCCTGAGGTTGGACAGTGAGATGCCTGGACTCCCAGCCCATCGCCATCCACAGTAGGGCCAGAATCCTCAGGGAATCTGACACCAAAGAGTCGGCAAAGAGCAGACCAGCTCTAGTCCAGGGAGAAAGCAGCCAGCACTTCCCTCAGCAGAGATGGGCTGTCCCCCAGTTCAGAGGGTTGGAACGTTCCAGGAGGTAGAGTGGCCAAGAAGCAAGACAAAAACAACAAAAATAAACCAACAAATGAATAGATTTTAATTCAGAAGGTGCTAAGGTCTGACCCTCACCTGGCTTCCCCCATTTCATGTCCTTGTGCAAAGCCCTGGGGGCCTCAGCAGACTGCAGAGTGGCACCCACCTTCCAGGGTCACCAGCCCCCACACTGGGGGGCCACGCTGTGGCGTGCTCCCAGCCTATCCAAGGGCTGGGCAAGCCCTCTGGTAAGGGCTTCCCTCAGTTTCTGGCTGTGGGGATGGAGGAGGGCAGGCAGAGAGACCCTGGAGGATAAAGGCTTCACATGTACACAGGAGCCCACGTTCAGTGGGAAACACGTGTTCTCTCCAAGTACACATGGAATGTCCACAGAGAAACATCCTTGGGCCAGCCAGGAAGGGAGTCAAGGCACCATCCACACTGTGCCCCCAAACAAAATGCAACTGGATAGGAAGGTGATCACATGACCTCAAAACTATCAGCTACCTGAAAACTAATTACTAAGTGGTAGCTATATTTACTATCGGTCAAACTCGTGGTATGAAGCTGAAGCAGTACTTACAAATAAGATTTCACATTTTTAAATACATTTACTAAAAATGAGAAAAATAAAACACAAATGAGGTAAGTACTAAATTCAAGAAGTTGGAAGCAAAACAACACAGCAAACCCAAATAAATAATAAAGGAAGAAAATAATAAAGGTGGGGTGGGTTACAATGAATAGAGAACAAAGGCAACAACACCCCCTACCCCCAAAGAAAGATCAGCAAAACCAAACACTGGTTCTTTGAAAAGACAAACATGACAGTCTTGTGGCAAAATCAATCAAGGTCACCACAGTGAAAAAATTAAATAAACAAAGGAAACAACTACACACATGATACAGACTAAAAATAGAGTATTGTGAAGACCATAAAGCACCTGAAAATCTAAACAAACACATTAACTTATAGGAACACTAAAAATAACAAAATTAGCACAAAAGGAAATTCACAAACTTGACAGACTATTATTCACTAAAAAAACAAACCAAGGGCCCAAGGCCCAGATGGTTTTACAGGTGAGTTCTACCAAAAACTGTAATTCCACCTACCTAAATTCTTCCAGAAATTAAAAAGATAGCAAAAGCTGCCCAGTTCATCTTATAAAACTCATATGCCAAGTACCATTTGCCAAAAATATATAAGAACGATTCACAAAAAGAAACAATAAAGTCCAATTCACTATGAACAGGGATGAAAAATCTGAAATACTGCCTCAGTCCAAAATGATATCAGAGTTTATATGCAAAATATAATCTAAGTAGGGTTTATTCCAAAAATACAAAACATCAATATAATTTACTAGACTAATGAACTTAAAAAGAATCACACAAATTCTCAATTGATGCAGAAAAAGAATTTGAAATTCAATGTACTTCGTTTTTTTTTTAAAAGATTTTATTTTTTAAGTAATCTCTACACTCAACGTGGGGCTTGAACTCACAACCCCATGATCAAGAGTTGCACGCTCCACTGACTGACCCAGCCAGGCGCCCCCGCCCCCCGCCATGTACTTATGATTAAAAACAAAACTCCTTAGCCACTTTCTTCTGATTTTAATTAGATGTATTCCCTTTTTTTTTTAAGAAAAGGTTTTTTTTTTTTTTTTTTTTTTTTAATTTCTTAAAAACGTTTAAAGTAATCTCCACTCCCAATGTGGGGCTCAAACTCACAACCCTGAGATCAAGAGTTGCACACTCCACTGACTAAGCCAGCCAGGTGCCCCTAGAAGTATTCCCTGTAAAATGAGGAACAAAGCAGGCCTGCCCACATCAGTTCTGTCTAACACAGCACCGTGGCTCTGGCCATGGCTAAAGGCTGGGACCCCTGGGGGACCAAGAGGGAAACCACCACATGCTCAACTGCAGGTGCCTCCTCCTAGAATACAGCACCAGACTAGCAGGAAGTTTAACAAAGTTGCCAAATACAAGATCAACCCCCCAAAACCAACAGCATTTCATACAGCAACAATAATCAGTTAAAAACATAGCAACATGAAAAAGATACATTCACAAAACAAGCAAAAACAAAGCATTTAGAAGGTACCAGACCACTCTGTGGAGAAAATCCCAGAACTCTAACAAAGTACACAGAAGGTAAATGGAATAAATGGAGACACATTCCACGGTCTTGGATGGGAACAGTTAATATGAGAAAGGTTAGTTCTTCTCTTGTGAGTTTTACAAATTTAAAGCACCCCCAATAAAAATTCCAGGTCCAAGAATTGAAAAACTCAAACTTACTCTATATTTATATGAAAGAATTACCCCATTACCCATGAGTAGATAAGTGAAGTTTTAAAAAAGAACAAAAAGGAACATAGTAATAATAATAATAATAATAAAAAGTTTGGCAAAAAAAAAAAAGAAAAGAAAAAAGAACAAAAAGGGGAGGTTGTCCTACCAGGCATTAAGACACACTACAAGGCCAGCTCGGAAACACACTGTCACACATGAGACAAGAAAGGTAGCTCTTAGGATGGGCTCCTACTTAACTCCGGGCACAAACGTGGAGCCCAGATCTAAACAAGAAAAATAAACTCTAAAGTCCACAGGAGAACACAGACTGTCTCTATGACCTTGGAGTAGGAAAGAACTTTCAAATAAAATTTCAAAAGTACAACCCATAAGGCAAAAACTAATGGATTTAATTTCATTAAAATCTGACCCCACAAAGCTAACAAACATAAAAGCATGGGAAAAGGTATTTACAATGCACAGAACTCACCATAACCCCTCCCAGGGTCAGCTCCTGATCTACAAAGACCCACAGCCCCTGATCCCCAGCTTCTGACAAGGGCCTGGCTAAGTGGGTGCTAACCAATGATGCAGGGGGAGGGGTCCCAAGATGCAGCCTCACCTAGTCCAGCCACACTGCTGTGGTTCTCCAGCATTACCTCCTTGTAGAGGGCCCTCTGGCCAGGGTCCAGACACTGCCACTCCTCCCTCGAGAAGTGTACGGCCACATCACCAAACGTCACAGCCTCCTGAAAAGACATACACCAGCACCCCAGGGAACCCTGGGTGCCAGCCTCATTCTGGCTCCACCTCATGGTGTGTCTCAGGCACATGGTTGGGCGAGACAGTCACCAGGCCCCTTTGGCTCTAAAAATCGAGGGGAGGGGCAGTATGGAGGAGGAGGGAGCCAGATCATGGTGATCTACAAACCTCCCCCTGTGAGGGTCTCCGGCAGGCCCCAATCTGGGTAGGGTTTTGCTCACTCCCTTGAGGGTGGGCATGCCTGAGCCTGGCAAGGGCCACAAGGGGCCAGTGGAGGGTAGGTTCCCAGAGGAAAAGGTAGGGGCCCTCACAGGACAAGTGAGGAAATGGAGGCAGTTAGACTCCTACCATGAGGCTCGGTGGGTGGGCATCCATGTGTCCTGGCCGAGGGACCTGTTGGCAGTTATGAAAGGGTCAGAGGTCAGAGTGCTGGAGGACCCCTATCCTTGAATTCCAGGCTTACTGAGAGGGTACTGTGTTCTCCAATCCTTTACTTCTAACCCCAGATGTTCTTCGGCAGGGACATAAGGTGGAGCCAAAGTGGCCACAGCATTTGACCATCTGCCCCACTGAAGCTCTGTTCATCCTTCAGAGTGTGTGAGGTGTGTGAATCACTCCACAAACATAAGGGGGGGGGTGCCACCTCTGCCAGGTGCTAGACTAAGCAATGGGGACACAGCTGTGCACAACGCACAAGAACTCTGCCTTCATGAAGCAGTCTTTAGAGTTAAACAACCATGCAAACACAACATTCCAACCATGACCATGGCCCAGGGGAAGAAATTCTGAAAGCATTTAAACTAGGAAACTCTGGTTTGGTTTGATGGGTCCCAGAGGAGCTAACTAGACCAAGGCGATGGAGGTGGGGAGGGCACTAAAGGCAGCAGGGAAAGGCATGTGTAGAGAGACTGAAGCAAGAAGGAATAGGGCAGAATGAGTCAGTGGAGCTGGTCACAGGCAGCAAGGGGAAGTGGTGGTGTGACTGGGGGATGGGACCAGAACAATGGATTACAGGAAAAAGCGCAGCGGATACAGGAACCCCCGCCGCCTATATAAACTTGGCCCCCTCCCCAGGTCTTCCCCTAGGTCTGAACGAGAAGTGGACTTCCTGGGGGAGCTTCTGGCTCAGAAAGTGGCTTGTGGGCGGAAGCCCCAGGTTCTGGGTACAGTGAAGCTGATCCGGGCAGCAGTGACGCTGGTCCCCAGTAGAGAAAAGCAAGCCCTGAGCAACAGCCAGAATTCAGAGAAGGCAGACAGCCCACCCTACCCAAGGCACAGCGCTTTTTGGCACTGTCTCTAAATTTAGGTCTTCCACCGGCAGTAAATGAGAGAAAAAGAGGACCCGAGAAGCTGTGGTTATGCAGAAAGGAGGATCCCGCCTGGAGCAGGCCTAGACCTGGTCGGAAGGCCGCGGGTGGAGCCCGCGGCCAGTACGGTGCGATGCAACCCGGCCTGCAGGGCTCGGCCAAATGCCTCCTGCCCCGCTGGCCGAGGCGGCCGCAGCTCGACCACCACCCACCCCAGGCGCCCACGGCCTCCCCAAGCCGCTCGCGCCACCCGCGCTCCCCCGCAGGGAGGCAAGGGAGCGCAGGGCCCGCAGTGCCGGTGGCGGGAGGACGCGGGGATCGGCCAGCTGCCACTCCGCCCGAGGCCGAAGACCACGTAAGCCGCCTAGACCCGAGTCGCGCCCGACGCGCCCACTCACCCTCCCCGTGGACCGCCCGAGGCTCGAAACGCGCGACAAAACCGGAAACGGGCCTTCGACGCACGCTCCCGCTCCGTCTCACAGACTTCCGGTTGTTCTGGGCGGCTCGGAGGCTCGGCCGTCTCGGTGGTTCCCAGCCTAGGGGCCAGGGCACTGGGGAAGGGGCGGGGCCGGAGCGCGAGCGAAAGTGGTTGTGGGCGGGGCCCGGGGAGGGGAGGGGCCAGAGTGGAGGGAGGGGCGAGTCCGGGGTCTCACAGCCCCGGGACGCGAAGGACACGCAGGCCAAAGGGCTGAGCGGATCCCCACGAAGCAGGTGGAAAGCCTGGGGTCGCCCCGGCCGGGCCCCGCCTACCTCGGATCACCTCGGGAGCGCTGGTCCCCGCACCGCATCTGTGCCCGGGCTTTTCTATAGAAGGCTCCCGTTGGGCACGTTCCAGGCACCGGACAGCGGAGAATCCCCGACCCGGGGCAGAGAGGGCACGGGGGAGCGGCCAGCTGGGGAGGAGGGTAGAGAAGCCGAGTGGAAACGGCCGGTGTTCTCTGGGTGGATGGGGGCACTTGGTCCAGGCCTAGGGCACCGTTAGGGCAGGGCGGGCGGCTCAGGGAACCTACAGCGGAGGTGAGGCGCCCCCGGGAGGCGGGAAGGGCGGGGCAGAGAATGCGCAGAACTTTCCCGGGGGGAGGGACCTAACACCCGACTCGTCGATGACCCAAATCCTGGGGTCCCTGACAGCCGCAGGGAGATCTGGTGCAAACCCGGGGAAGAAAATGGGCAGAGCCAGCTCCCCGCCCCCACTCCGAGGGGTGGTCCTAGGGAAAAACGGGCCTTGCCGGGTCCTCCTGAGAGACCATCTCCTTTCCCGTGCCTCGCGGTCTTAGCGCTCGCACCCTGCGCCCCAGCAGCTCCGAACTCAGCTCTACCAGCCCCACACCCTCTCTGGTTACGCTCAGGGAGCATCTGTGCAAAGGATGCATAAACCAGTAAATGGAGTATAGGGAAGGACTGGGAACAATGCCAACTTCCCAGTCGCCCTCCAGGTCCTAATCCCCAACCAAGCGCTTCCAGGAAGAAGCCTGGGTGCGCTGAGCACATTGGTGGTCCCGACCTACTGGGAGCGAGTCTTCACACCGCAGGATCCCAAGGTGGGAGGGTCCCGGCCCCAGGCTGGCGAGCTCAAATTGGGTGGGCAGGGTCACGCCCTGGATGATACAAGGGGCAAGACGAGGAGCCAAAGCTGACACTTGGGTCTGCAGACCCTCAGGACAGAGCTATTTCAGCCACCATGAGAGCCTGGCCCAGAGCGTCCACCAAGCCCACACCTGGGCAGTGTTGGGGTGGAGATACCAGGGTGCTGAGGCCCTGAGGGTCTGCCTGGAGGCAGGAGTGACGGGGATTGCTTCTATATATGTCACAATCCTCACTGAATCTCGGGCCCAAGGAGCAAACAAACCAACTGTTCACAGCCAGAGGCCTGAACACTGTGAATGGTCAGTGTCCCTTCTCTGAGCCAGCTATTTCCAGCCTGGGATTGGGATTCCACACCATAAATGTTCCTAGGGAAAAAACCTACCTTAATTACAAGAAGACACCTTCTGTATCCTAGTAGGTGGCCCAGAGCGATAATGCTTTCAACAAACTGGAACAGAGACTCTCCACAGGCCAGCACCATCCTTAGGCACTCAGGAGTCTCATGATATGCTAAAATGTACCTAGGGTCTGTTTTAATCAGGTATGGTAAGACATGCAGACTTGGAAATGATTGTCATGAAGGAAGACATTTCTACTCAGGTCCCTAGAAGGCAGGCTACACAGGGAAGCACCAGGGTCAGTCAGAAGGCAGAAGGGGGGGAAGGGACAGTGTGGCTCAAACCCTTTATTGGGGTTTCTGCAGGAAGGAATGGGTGATGCAGGGTAGGTATGCTACGTGAGCTTAGGATCAGATAGTTTGAATAACTTCAGCAAGCTCCAGCCCATAAGGGTGGTCTCTACTTGTTTGATACATGGATCGGGTGAATTAGGGCAGGGGGAACTTTGGCTTGGTGTGTGAGTTTGATAAAGGAGATATTTGGGAGTGTGGGCTCTGGGTTGGTTGGTTTGTATCAAAGCCTTGCTCTAAAGGGTTGTTTGCTATCTCTGGGAATGACTTTTTTGGATCTAGGCCTGCTTGGCTCAAAAGCTGGTGGGAAGAACCAATAGGCCATGCACAGAAACAGAATTTACCTGATCCCCTTACCATGGAAATGCTACCTGAGGAGGTCGGGGGCTGGAAATACTGGGAGCAAACTGAGGAGCTGAAAGTAAGTGCCGAGAGGGCCTGAGGAAGTGGGTGGCAGGGCCTTGGGGTGACAGGGTTTGTGCTCAGCACAGAGAAGCCTTGTCACCAGCCCTCCTGAGCTCTCCATCTTCACTGGGCTCTGCCTGAGGCCCCATCTCCTCCTTGTTCTGTGTGACCCTTTTCTCCTCCTCAGATCCAAGTTCCTCAAAGGCAGGGCCTGTGATGTCTCCGTCGGGCATCTCTCTCCCATGCTCAACAAGGACCCCATGCTCAATTGAAACTTGTTTGAAAGACTGACCTAACCTCTGAGTCAGCAAACTTATTTTTCTTTAAAGGAACATAAAAGTTGAAAAACAGGATTTCCAGAAATGAAATGGATTTCACTCAGAACGGGAGTTCAAGCTTAATTAGAATGGAACCCAAATACGGAAAAATATGGCTGAAGTGGGACTCAGAGATATGCCTTTTACAAAATTCACTTTACCAGATGTCACTGATACTTTCTGATTCTTTTCCAAGAGGAAAGCTGCTTTCTGTTAGTGTCCATTTGAATACTGCAAGTTAAAGAAAGTCAGGGCTCATACCCATTAGGATGATTACTATCCAAATAACTTTCTGTTATTGACTAGGATATGGAGAAAGGGCGGTCTTGTGCCCCACTGGTGAGAGCGTGCCTGCAGCCACTGTGGAAAACAGCATGGAGGCGCAGCAGAAGATTAAAGACAATTACTCTGTGGCCCAGCAATCCCACTTCTGGATATATACACAAAAGAACTGAAAGCAGAATCTCGGAGAGATGTTTATGCACCCATGTTCATAACAGTATTATTTATAACAGCCAAGAGGTGGGAGCAACCCAAGTGTCCATTGATGGAGGAATGGATCAGAAAAATGCGTTCCATCCATAGAAGATTACTCAACCTTTTAGAAAGGAATCTGTCACATGCTGCAATATAGAGAAATCTGGAGGACATTATACTCTGAAACGAGCCAGTCACAAGAGGACAGATACTGACTCCACTTAGATGAGGTACCTAGAGTAGTCAAAATTAGAGAGACGGAAGGACAGAAAGTAGAACGGTAGTTGCCAGGATCTGGGAGAAGGGGAGATAGGGAGTTATTGTTCAATGGGGACAGAGTTTTGGTTTTGCAGGATGAAAAGAGTTCTCAAGGTGGATGGTTGTGATGGCTGCACAATATGAATTGTACTTAATACCACCAAACTGTGCACTTAAAAATGGTTAAGATGGTAAATTATTATGTTATGCATATTTTACCATGGTAAAAAAATTTTGGAAAAAGGGGCTGAAAATTGGCTTTCTTTGTGTTTGGAAAAAGGGTACCTCTTCAAGTATATTCTTAGCTTACTTGGTGAGAAAACCACATTTTGCAGATACTTCAAGGATTTGCCAATATTTTTTTTCAAAATCAGGAAGAAATCCCCTTTATGATTATGCTAGTGAGCTGAGGATTAACTCAAAGTGAAAACGTGTGTGATTCCAGAATATTCATTTCTGCTGTAGAACAGACAAGGAAGGTCGATGAAACAGAAGCACGCAGCTGATGAGACTGGTTCAACACAGGTGGTACAGAAAGTGTGTGCTGAACACAGGGCGGGCCATGGAGGCCCCCAACATAGTCCCCAAACACCCAAGAGGCTGATGAGGCCCTTTCTTCTGTCCCTCTGGGGCCAGTTGTTGGGGTAGGGCCATGCCCAGCTGTGCTTGCCACCGTGTCGGAGAGACAGAGGGTGTTGGCTCCAGACACTTTGCTTCTGCCTTGCTTGCCCTCAGTGCTGGTCCTTGTAAACCCATCACAAGGCAAGTTGAAGCAGAAAAGGAGAGGTGGGAGGTGGGGGCACCTGGACCCCACCATCGTGAGGGTTGCCTCCCGACTCTACAGAACCTTTCTATGACCCTCAGACACCATTCTTCTTTTAAGTGTCACCTTCTCCAAGGTTCTCCCTGCTCCCCTTTCACACTCCTGTGGTGAAATAATCAACATCCTCAGCCACATTGGCAACTTTGAGGCTGCCTCCAGCCTGGACTCTGCAGAGCTCCACACCCGGGAACCAGCTGCCAGGTGGACGCTCCCATTCACACTCACACCAACCCCACCTCTCCACACCCTCCAGGCCTCCAGATGGCCTGGACTTTGTCGCCTGGTTCCCTGAGCAAGAGCCCTAGGGGTGAGCACTGACTCCTAGCCTTGCCCCATCACCAACACTCCTCATTCCTCCTGGTGCCTCTGCCCTGCCCCTCCCTGAAGGCTGGCCTCCAGGCCAGCAGCAGCATCCACTGGGCACCTTTGCAAACATGGCCACCCTCCCAGCTCCCCTTCTTCCTGGCCTGGCCACTCCTGGGATCAAGGTCTCTCTCTGTCCATTCTGCTCTCCTCACTGTCACTCACCTGATTCACACCATCTGGAGCCAAAGTCCTTAGTGACGCTCTTGGCTTCACACCTTTTCCCATACTCCTCACTCAGTCGGGCCTTTCTGGCCATGTGCTGCCCACTTTCTCTGGCTGTGGGGACTCCTGCCCTGTAGGTGTCCTTCATTCTCCCTAAGTCTTACCTGGGCATACAGCCAACACAGAGACATGAGCCAGCCTCCTCTGCAGCCAGAAGTGACCCTTGCACTTACCGGTGTCCCCTTCCCCTACTTCTGGGATGTCCTGGTGGTGAGCCAGGCTCAGCCAGGAGGATGCATCACCTAGGTGTGGCTCTGGGTTGGCATAGGCATACACTGAGCAGGTATGGTGGCTTGTGAACCGGCGGGCTGACAGGCAGATGTT